CTCCTTCTACCACAACCTACTCCAATCTACGAAGGACGAGCTAAACGAATGGAGAAAATGGGAACTCAGAGGCCTACAGATACGTGCCCGAATGAAGGACTGCATCCTGAATGAATCCATGTCCGAATTCTTTTTCTCCAAGATCAAGGCTAACGCAAGGAACAACACAATTGAGGGGCTGAAGGACCCATCAGACCAGGGCACGACAAAGTCAGTCGGTGCAGACATGGTAAGAATAGTCAGGTCCTTCTACGCTGACCTCTACGAGTCTAAACCCCCCTTCCCCCCTCCAACAACGAATATCAACGCCCCCCAACACATGATGACCTACCTTGAGAGACCGATCACCCATGAACAAACGGAGGACTTGGATAAACCAATCACCATAGGCGAACTGCACACAACCTTGTCCCAGATGGGAAACAATAAAGCACCTGAAATTGATGGCCTGTCCAAAGAATTTTGGATCCAGTTCTGGCCAACGATGGGCAACGACCTCTTGAACTTCATCAATGACAACAGAGAAAAAAAAGGCTTGGGTCAATTCCTAAGCACCAGCGTAATGTCGCTAATATACAAAAAGGGCAACAAGGAAGACCTTAAGGACTACAAACCAATCTCACTTCTCACAACGACGTACAAAATCCTAGCAAAGGCATTAGCCGACAAAATCATAAAACTAACAGACATCTTCTTTCACATCGACCAAGCAGAATTCATCCCGGGTCGATACATTCTGGATAATGTGATGGCACTAAACGAGATTGCAAAGAAGATCACAGAAAAACGAATGCAAGCAACGATCTTATTCTTCGACTTTAAAAAGGCATACGATCAAGTCAACTGGGACTTCCTACACAACTGCATGGAGAAGATGGGAGTCGGCCCAAATTTCAGAGAGTGGGTGAGAGTACTCTACGGGGATGCCACGGGCAGGGTGCAGATAAACAGAATACTATCCGATACCTACCCGATATCGAGATCGGTCCGACAAGGCGACCCCCTTGCACCCCCAATATTCTTGTTCATAATGGAAGCCATAACATCGTTCCTGCGCAAGGACCCATCCATAGACCGCCTGACCGATCAAAACCACAACCCCCTCCACGACTTCGTTCTCCCCACAGCACAAATGTTCGCAGACGATCTCACGGTCCTCATCCGTGCTAACAACTCCTCCTTCCAGGCCCTGGTGCGCGCCATGGAAGCCTTCAGACTCGCTTCAGAAATGAAGGTTAACTGGTTGAAAACGAAAGGGTGGTGTGGCTCGCAGAGGGCACCCCCCCCCAACCCCCAGACCCATCCACCCCAATATCTTGGACTACAGGTGACCAAACACTTCGATATCTAGGCATTATGGTAAACAGGGATGGCATTTGGCAAGGAATGGGGGAGACTCTACTCGCCAAAGCAACAACCCGGCTAGCCACCTGTAACAGAGCCCAGGCCTCCCTTCTAGGGAGAGCCCTGATCATCAGCACAACACTATTCTCCACTTTGTGGTACATGGCCTCCATATGGTGCCCCCCCGACGACGACCTGAAGAAGCTGAAGGCTAGAACCAGGTGCTATTTGTGGACTGGCGACCCCAGCAGAACCTCCTGCATAAACAAGGTAGCTTGGCAAACTGTCATCAGAAAACCACAAGGAGGGCTAGGTATAATCGACCCTAAACAGGAAGCGAACGCCCTCCAAATGAAATGGATAATCAAAATCCTAACCAAACAAGCCCTCCTGTGGACCAAGATGGCGTTAGACAGCATAAGGAGTTTGGCACCAGTAGCGACCCCACCGAACATGAGTGGCCTGTTCTGGATCATGGCAAAGGAATGGACAATCAAATCTGGGAGATCAGTAAGGAAATCTAACCCAGCGACCCCCATTCAGCCCCCCACAACACCCACCCCCTACTGGTCACCGATCCTGAAGGCCTGGCGTTGTCTGATATCAGAAAAGAAAGAACCCCCGAGCAACAAAGAGGAAGTCCTATGAGGGCAGACCGTGGACCCTCCGGCCCAAAGACCGGAGATGGCTGTCTTGGGTGGAGAGAGGAGCATGGCAGGTCAAACACCTGTGGTTCGAGGACCGACAAGAATGGCACACCGCACAGGACCTTCGTACTCCCTTAAAAGGCTGCCACCTACTGACCACCAACCTGGCAGAAATCCTCCAAAGCATCCCGCCCCCATGGACGACCCTCCTAAAAGAGACACATACATGGAAACCAGGAGACTGGGGACTACTCACCACACAGACTCCAACAACAAGAGCCAATTGCTTCGTGTCAAAACCGGCCTCAATTAACTACCAGGCCCATTTCGCATCCTACCCCATCAGCACATAAAATATATATGAACTAGAGGTCCTAAACAAAACGCCACAGCACGAACAAATATATTCTAGCCGGAACTCAGCATCAAAGGACTGGAATTTGACCCAAAGGAATGGATATGGGATCTAGGCGCGGCCGGTAAATCGAGGATGATAACAGAATACGACATTAAGCTCGGATATAGCCTCGGGCTACAAACCAGAGACCCGAATCCAAGGCTGACAGAGAAATGGAGAACCATACTGAACCTAGATACGACGACCCCCATCTCCATCGCATGTACCAAATACCTTCTCATCAGACCAATTAGAATCCGAAGTATGCAATGGCTAATGGCACATGCAGCCCTTCCAGTCAACCGATGGCTACACGTGAGAAGGAAATGTTCCGATCCCGATAGCTCAGAATGCTGCTCAATGTGCAACAACGACTAACCCGAAGAGATCCCCCACTGCCTCCTCTTCTGCCCAGATGCAACCTGGATATGGAAGAAGGTCCGTGAGCTATGGTCGATCCTGTTCGCCTCGCCACCCCCTAACGCCCCCCCTATCTCTATCCTACTCCTAACTAACATCCCCAGCAACATCACAGGCAGCAGGGAAGTATGGTTCACCCTGCTCAGGAAGCTGGCTTTGTGGGTGATATGGAAACACAGGTGCACTCAGACAATCGAGGGAACAGAGGTGGCAAGGGAAGAAATGTGGTCACTACTGCTGAGCATGGCAGAGACGGAAATCAGGATCAGATGGCGGAGAATAGTGAACTCAACGAGGCACAGACCAGAAGGACAAGCAACCAAGAAACGTACGTTCATAAGGAACTGGTTGCTAAAGGGCAAGGTGGCAACGATAAGTGACAACAGATTGAGGTGGAAGAAATGGCACCAGACACAATCATGAAGACTACGAGGGTACTTGTCAGGTGACCTGGCTGAAGGCGCTGTATGGTGATCAACAAAAGGAGGACCGGAAACACAGGAAGGACAAGGACAAACAACAGAACACAGAGCGGACCCCCCCCACTGTTCTCGTAATACTGGGATTCATTCGACAGGCCCTAAGTAGAAGCCTGAGAGGAACAGATGGTCAGGGCAAGCTGACAGTCAATCCTCCTTAGAAGGAGTAATCAATGCTGGTCAGGGATCCTTCGGCCAGACGGATGGAAGCGTTGAGTGATTAATATGTTGTAAGTTGTAACCCTTTTTCGACTTGCCGGGGTAATAGGAACCAGACTGAAGCACCCCAGAATGGATATGGAGCCAGGACCATAAGGACCTGTTTGAAAAAAAAAAAAAAAAAAAAAAAAAACAGGAGGGAGAAGATATTGGTGCAACTTCTGTAATTCTTCTTCTTCTTTGATTCTTTCTTTCTACTCAACTCTTTATCGATCTCCATCTTTTCTTTTGAATTTCAGCAAGTCTTGCATTTCTCACAATTTGAGTTTTGCACCATGGATGGAGCAGGATCATAATAATTTCAATGACGGAACTCGGCAGGCGTGCAGTGAACTGAGTTCAAAATCTGCACAGACAAAGATCAGAGTTGTAACTTTGGCCCAAGTCTAGACTCAGAGTGTTGAAAGTCGTGTTTCTTTCCCTAGAGGGGTCTGAGAAAAGTCTTTAGGGTCAACAGTATAGGGTCCAGGGTCAAACGAGTCAACCTGTGCCCCACATGAGACAATTGACTCTTGGAAGTCAAGTGCCAGGCCCTACCCGGGAATAGCTGGAGTCAGATTTCCGGGCAGTCAACCACGACCATAGATCAGATGCACAATCAAAGGCTGTTTGCATTTATTCTAGAAGATTCCAGGGCCTATTGGGTCCAGGCACACTGAAGGCCAACAGCAAATCTGGACCACTGAAATTGAGAAATCTCCACCATTGGAGGTAAGTAGAGGCAGGCCAGGGCCGGTCAACGCTAGAAAACAGCGACCAGCACCAGTGCGGGCCATTCATTCTGCCTTGCATGTGCTGGTGGTCAGAGTGCTGCTGGGTGAGGTGGAGAGGAGAGTGAAGTTGGCGCCAGAGAGAGGAAGGCAGTTCCAGCCCAGGAAGGGGAGATGTGAGCAGTAGCCATAGCTAGGAAGGGCGCCTCGTGCCGTAGCTGTAGCCTAGAGGTAGGGCGAAGAAGAGGGTGATCAGAACTGTGAGGAGAGAGAGTGAGAGAGAGTGGGAAGCTTACCTTGACTTACCTGTTGGGCGCTGGTATACTGGAGCTGCTAAGTCACATCAGGAGGCTGAAGAAGGCAGACGCCAACCTTGATAGCCAGCATTGATGCTGGAGGTTGGGCGCCATGGCTGGTACCGTCAGAGTGACTTCATCAGTGTCTTCAAGGGAAGACTTGGATTGCTGAGTTGGCAAGTTGATGGGAGAAGGTCCCGGAGATGAAGAGGGGCGGAAGAGCCGTTTCAATTGTGTTATTGGTTATTAATGAAACTATCCTCCCTCTCTCGCCATTGCTTCTCTACCTTTGTCTCACTTCAGGTGATTGCTACTTATTTGGGGACTACATTGAGTGCTTTTGTACTCATTCTGCATTGCTGGCGGTTCACCTTTTCGAGTGCTTTGTGACTACATGCATGATCGACTTTGAAGCTTCTCATGATCGACATGCTCATTGCAATTGCATTGATATTCATTCAACTCATTGCTTTTGTTTTATTGTGCAGGTGCTTGAATCTTCCAATCAAAGGAAATACACACGGCTGAGGTGAGCATGAGAAGCCAAGACACCATGGCTTTGGATGGGTGGGTTTGGAGGAGGCTTGTGAACCATGTGGTGGCTCATTCCTGCTCTTGATTAGACCATTGCTATCTTTTGACTGCCAGTCCATGTTCCCAGTTTCACCAGGCCAGGCAGTGGGCCCCGTGCAGGCCAGACCTCACCTGGCAAGGTAAAGAAGGCAGGTAAAAAAGGTGCCAAAAATTTTAAAGACAACTTCAGGCCGTGCATGATGTGTACTGTCACAATTCGGCCTTATCTTTGAGTTTGCTGATGGTCTGGGGGTATTGAAAAAGGGCCAAAAATATAAAAGAAAACTTCAGGCCTGATCTGTACGTGACGTGTAAAGTCACAATCCGGCCTTAAGTTTGAGTTTGCCGATGGTTTGGGGTTATTATAATTGGGGACCTCAATTTTTGAAAGGATTTCATGTCGCAGACTCCCGAGTCCTGGTTCCAGGGTCCCAAATTGTCCCAGTCCCAGTTGGGCCAGTTCCAGATGGTCCCGGTCCCACCTGTCCCAGTACGTGAATCCCAGGTTGGGTCGTTAGGGTCCTTAGCTCTGTAGGAGGCCGAAACGTAACCCGGTGTCGGGTCAATACCGAATCAGACCGGTGAAAGTCCAACCGGTACCCGACAAGGAAAGTCCAGGCCCAAAGTCCAAATTTGGAGCAGCGTCCCAGTAAAAGTCTGGGAGGTACCGGGCCACCAAAATCCATGTAGCAGACAGGCCGCGGGCGACCGGGACCAGTCAGAAGCAAACCAAGGCCAAGCCAAGCAACTATTAATAGCTGCTACAGTGCAGGTCACGACATCTTTTGTCCTGCGTGAGATGCGGAAGCGCTGCTGGTTGCTTGTGCGACCTCACAGCTTGGACTGGGCGCCACAAGGCCTGCYAGGCGGCGCACCAGTTAGGGTTGAGGAAGGAGAAGGTGGTCATAGCCTCCATAGCCGAAGTTGCAGTTGAAGAAGAGCAGATGTATCCAGGGTTACTCTGYCTCTCTCTCTCTTAGAAGAGAGAGAGAGACAGAGTGATACAAGGGTTGAGAGAGGTATTGAGAGAGCAATCAGGGAGAGAGAGGGAGAGATAGTCACAGGGGAGGATACTTGGTTACATACCTGGTTGAGGATTGTTGTTGATTGCGCTGATGAGCTCTGGCTATCTGAACTCTGACTTTGTATAATATGAGTATTCTGAGCTGCGCTGATTTGGTGCTCCATATCTGGCTTCGGTGTGAATCTCCCTTGTGTGGAGTGAATCTGAGCGGATCATTGCATTTTATTTGTTTTCATCATGGTTGCATCCCTGCCGACCGCCGACCCCGACCCCGACCCCGACCGCCGACCGTATTGTAGCCGACCAGTAGGGCCGACCGGTCGGCGGTCTGCCGACCAGTCAGAAAACAACCATCCACTAGAGCTCATCCAGTGTGTTTCTGGTTTAGGGTTTAGGGTTGAGAAATGATCCGCTCAGATTCACTCCACACAAGGGAGATTCACACCGAAACCAGATATGGAGCACCAAGTCAGCGCAGCTCAGAATACTCATATTATACATAGTCAGAGTTCAGATAGCCAGAGCTCATCAGCGCAATCAACAACAATCCTCAACCAGGTATGTAACCAAGTATCCTCCCCTGTGACTATCTCTCCCTCTCTCTCCCTGATTGCTCTCTCAATACCTCTCTCAACCCTTGTATCACTCTGTCTCTCTCTCTCTTCTAAGAGAGAGAGAGRCAGAGTAACCCTGGATACATCTGCTCTTCTTCAACTGCAACTTCGGCTATGGAGGCTATGACCACCTTCTCCTTCCTCAACCCTAACTGGTGCGCCGCCTRGCAGGCCTTGTGGCGCCCAGTCCAAGCTGTGAGGTCGCACAAGCAACCAGCAGTGCTTCCGCATCTCACGCAGGACAAAAGATGTCGTGACCTGCACTGTAGCAGCTATTAATAGTTGCTTGGCTTGGCCTTGGTTTGCTTCTGACTGGTCCCGGTCGCCCGCGGCCTGTCTGCTACATGAATTTTGGTGGCCCGGTACCTCCCAGACTTTTCCTGGGACGCTGCTGCAAATTTGGACTTTGGGCCTGGACTTTCCTTGTCGGGTACTGGTTGGACTTTCACCGGTCTGATTCGGTATTGACCCGACACCGGGTTACGACGTTTCGGCCTCCTACAGAGCTAAGGACCCTAACGACCCAACCTGGGATTCACGTACTGGGACAGGTGGGACCGCGACCATCTGGAACTGGCCCAACTGGGACTGGGACAATTTGGGACCCTGGAACCGGGACTCGGGAGTCTGCGACATGAAATCCTTTCAAAAATTGAGGTCCCCGATTATAATAACCCCAAACCATCGGCAAACTCAAACTTAAGGCCGGATTGTGAGTGGCTGGTGGCCCGTGAGCGACAGAGCTCATCCAGTGTGTTTCTGGTGGCCCGTGAGCGACACTTGCTCAACCACTTTTTCACTGGGAGTGCATGTGCAATCAGACTCGCTTTCATTCACACTTTACATGCATGCAAACAGTAGCGCAGCAAACTGGCGACATGCGCCCACTCGGTACTCAGAGATATGGCAACCCAGATACGAGTTCACTTCCAATGGCTATGGCGATACAGCGCCCATACAACTCTCTGTTCTCATACAGTGGATCACCCTGGATATCCCACATGCGTCTCTCTGAACACTCACACACACACACACTGAACACTAACTACAGCTATGGCGGCTATGGCCGCCTCTACCCTATCGCTATGGCTAAGCTTCGTCTCTCTGCCCACTTCGTCYTCGGGCTCRCTGCAGACCTCCTTGCACAAGTCGCTGTGGCAGCGCTTCCGCATGGCTCACGGAGGAATGAATGAATGGCTGGGCGCTGCCTCTTGATTTATACTTCTGCAGCTCGTTGGTCTGGCCCTTTCCCATGCCCGAAATGCACACAGTCCCATGCGGTACTTGCTRGACTGGACCAGGACTGACTGGGGACTGGGACTGCTGACTCAGCACGGGTAGACTCCACCACTTGACCACTTGCCTCGCCACTTGGCCACYTKCCTCAGTCTAAACGTGGGCAACTTCGAAAGGCCACTACTGGGACCTTCCGGAAGGCCGTAGACTTGGCCTTTCGGTACTGTRGCAGCTACGACTTTGACCCTTATGGACTGTAGCAGCTAYGACCCTGACTCTTCGAGAAGACTACAGCTACGACCTCTAGACCTGACTGGGACTCCTATCCGACAGGTCTACAGATCGAACCCATGCCACSTATGGACCCTAYRACAACCKACCAACTGCTACAAATACACAGGTCGCGGGTTCAACTCTACGGGTCGACACAGGTACTGTACACAGGTAAGGTGGGGGCTAGGGATCGAGCCCTGGGATCTGCATCAGCTACTGCGAACTGGTGAATACCGTTTCACTCCCGCCGGCCTAAATTCGAGGTCCTCCGAGAATAACTCAGTCCAAGGCACCAGGTTAGGATACAGACTGAGACGCCGCTCTACCAACCCTAACCCTATAATAGCAGAACGCTGGAAATGACACCTAGAGGTAGAAACAGAAACTTCTGACCCTATACCATGGAACTCAATAGCGTCTATTCACCCGCCCAAATTCAGAAGCCTACAATGGTTAATTATTTACCTAGCAGTCCCTCTGAACCAATGGCTAAATGTTAGAAGGAACAAGGAAGACAGAAGCCCACTGAAAGAACTATGTGCTAACTGCAACAATGGACAAATAAAAAACTTAGATCACTGTTTTCTCCTATGTCCCAGGATAAAACCACTATGGCGAAAAGCAGCAAGCACATGGAACACAGTAATAGGCACAACTCTCACAAGCAACAGCACACTCCTACTACTAGGATTCAACAGTCCGGAAGACTGGAGCCCACTAGAATCCACCTTCTTCAGAATACTTAGAAAAGCCACACTATGGGCTATATGGAGGAAAAGATGTCAAGAAACTATAGAAAAACAAAACATGCATACCYAAGAAGCATGGGGACTACTCCAGCAACAAGTAGAAACTGAAKACTGKGTTCTATGGCGCAAAGTAAGAAGGAGAATGAAGGAAGACRAAGACAACGCCAAGGAACACCAACAGAWTTYSRARRRRA